TAGTTAAGAAACTGTACAGAAGTACTTAATCACCAAAAGCACTATTTATAAATATGTTTATGTAGCTTTTTATAATCCAGGCATTTTGTCCTTAAGAGCCTAATCACTACATCAAAATCAGTTGACTTATGTGGCTGGTAACTTTAAAAATTTGTTTCCATAGACTTAAGCCTTCACATTGTTACAGAATAAATGAATTCTGCTGGAAAACTTTCTGGGAGGAAAATCCTATATATACACAAAATCTGACCAATTAACTCCCCTCAGTATTCTAAAATTGTATTTTTTTTCAAACTCTAGCCCAGTATGTCTGTTGCATCAACATCAAACTACGAAATGTCTGTGTCCTAGGTTTAAGTCTACCATAGATTTGACTCAATGTGGGGTTAAAGATAGCCTGTGAAGACTGAACTGTTAACTGCTTTATTTCAAATCTAAGATAACAACTTCAAGATGTACCATTATTTTATGTACCACCCAGAGTTGGGAAAACACTGTCAAATATAACAATATGATAGTCCTTACTGGAAAATGCATGAATTGGTTACAGCAGCCTTTTTGAAATTTCATCTATTCACTTATCAACTTCTCATGAATAAAATTGCACTGCTTGGAGTTTTAGTGGATAATTCTTAGCATTTATCTTATGGGCAACTCCCTTGCGTAGGTCCCAAGAAAAATTTGGTTGCCACTTTGCAATATGGAGATCATCCTTCCAGTAACAAGTATTTCCTCCCTTACTATCACATTTATGTCCTGCTGTCTTTGTATACCTTTTGCATGTACAGTAATTTTACTTTGTTGTTGAGCAATCCTTTGTAGGACACTTTTAAATAGCGATTAAGGTAATGCATACAGCTATAATTAAGCTCACTCAAATATAAGCAGGGACTGTATCAGTGGTATTGCCTAACCACTGTAAGTTTTAAGCTACATTACACCCCAATTTCCAGAGACGCTAAAATGTGAAGGGAAAAATGCATCCTATTGTTGATGAGATATCCTCATAACTGACACACGAATTGGTTTTATGATCCTATTTTTCAAAGTTTAAGTGACTTGTCCTGTAAACAATCTTCACACAAAGGATTGAACTATGGAATAGAATACACCTCTGAGATCTAATTTAAATCAAAACAAAAAAACTAGATCTGAGGCTTCTGTTTCAATGTTTTGAAAATTCTTTATGTATTTTGAATCTAAAAGTGATTCTTTTTGCCTATAGCTGTAACTACTCGTATTAATCTAAATAAAGGTGTTACATTTACTTTTGGCAGTGGTTGAGTCCTCAGTTGTGAATCATTTCTAAAGATGATTAGTTGGACTAATCCTGGTTTCCTGGTCAAAGCTTCATTTTTGAAATATCCAGAACATATTAAGGTAGGCAATGAGGCTGCAGAATAAAGAAATTATATATGACCACTGTTGGAAACGGCAATGGCTCTTCTAAAATAAATATGAACTTATAGCTGATTCAGAGAAAACAATCTGGACCTGAACTCTTGACTAATCCAATAAACTTCTTAAATTATTTTTCAACAAACATGAGTAAGAAGGCCAAAGATCCTAATAAAGCTGATTTTTCAAAAACGTGGTTTTTGTGGGGGGCGTAATTAGGTTTATTTATTTATAATTGAGGTACTGGAGATTGGACCCAGGACCGAGTGCATGCTGAGCACACACTGTACCACTCACCTATATACCATCCGTGCCTCAAAGCTGTTTTAAAACAAGTGTTTCAATTATTTTTCTTTAAATATTAAAATCTTACCATTTGTTCTAGAAAGATCTTATGCATGATTATTTTTTACTGAAATAATGCCAGTTTTGCCAAACCTACAAAGTTACAGGAGTATGGCAGTTATAAAAAGGTGCTGATCCTCCACGAACATGAGGCATTTCAAACCCTTATGTTTTAGTCTAGGTTAATAGGCTAGTTTAATCCTCTGGAAATGGGTTCACCCAAGCTGGCTTCCTTTTTCTATTCCCTTTTCATGTTTTGTAGCCACTCTACACATTCTCCCCCTCCTCCCACCTTTCTTACAGGAATAAGACTACTTCCCAGGGTTATGTTCAAGAATATGTGCAGTAGCTTCTTGTACATGGGTTCTCATTAAGGCTAATTTTTAATCTTCGTTACTCTTAGTTCCTAACCAGAGAAAAGATGCTTTTTAACTGCAAATAAAAGTAAAACATGTGCCAACCTCTCACAGGAATGATTTGTTTCTTGGAAACAGAAGGTATCTCAAGACCACGTTCATTTTACCCAAGTGCTGCCTTTACTCAATAAACTTAGAAATACTTGGTATTGAACTTCATTTTAAAATGTTACCTAATACCTAAAAACAAGTAACAACTTTCATTAACATACGAATAAGTTTGAGCCAATAAAGGGAAAATAAATGTAAACCAAGTTTATTTTGCCTTTTAAGTAGTGTTCTTAAAGCACTACAGCTTGGTAAACAATGTAAATTAGTATAAGTCATCTCAAAAGCCAGAATTTTGTTTTGTGTTTTTTAATGAGTTGTTAAAAAGATGCAGCCTATTCTAACAGGATAAATATTTTTAACCATTTCACTTCGAGTTAATGAAGGCTCACAAATGAGCAACACTCCTCATTGAGGAAAACAAAAAGCTGTTGTCGACAAGCGACAGCACACACACACAAAAACAAAAAGAACTGTGTAAAAATATCTAACTGTGTTCCCATATTTTTTGAAGTCGCTTTACAATGGGATGATATGCACATGATCTTGCTGCAAACTTGCCATACAGACTTGTAATACATGTGGTCTAGACAAACGATTCAGTCCAACAGGTGCTAACTTCAGACAATGCAGCACTATAATCCTTTTAACAACGCAATTTGTTTTACTCATTATCTTTTCTTCTAGACTGAAATACAGGCTAGAAAGAAAATGCTCCCTAATTAAAAATTGGTACTGTTTACAGGAAAAATTGTATAATTTTGCATTAGAATTTACAAGTATATGTTCAAATTGAATTTGCCTCCTCCCCCATCCCAGCCACAAAATGGGCATGAAGTAAAATTTTTAAAAATGCCTTAATTTTCAACTTCATGCAAACTAAATAAAGATGACCAAAACAAAAGCTTAAACAATGGAAGGATATTTCACAGAAAATTTCTTATACAAAAAACACATAAGAAAAAGGGCCACTAGGTGACATTTTAATTTACAAATTGGCATCATTTTGGTCGACAAATATCCAGATGCTGTTTTCTTCTGCTAACAAGAGTTGCAGAGAGGAAGGAAAAAAAAAAACAAAAAACCCCCATCAGCATGACTTCTGATTTTAATCACACATTTCTTCTGGAATTTCATGTGGATTAAGGATGCCAGGGACAGACATCTGAAGTTTATGTTTCTCTTCCTGAGCCTGTCGAAGAGCTGTTTCTCTTTCTTCCAAAAATAGATCAGATGTATCTTCACCTGCAAACTCCTGTGAAAAGACAGTTGAAATGTCAACATAATAAACTTCAATTTCAGAAAATTACTTCCCTTTGGGGGGGCGTGTAGATAAGCACCTCCCTGTTTACATAACTGATATAATTTATCCATCAATTGCTGATTTTAAATTAAAGTATATTATTTTATAATTCTAGAGTTGAATTAAAAACCAAAGAAAGTTGGAAGAAAAAAAGGTAAGATTACAGAAGAGGTATAGTGTGATGCCATATACAAAATATACTTCATAAGCAATGATACCAAGAAGATGTTTCTCAGACTAATGATCAAGTTTAACTATATTATCACTGTCCTAAAGGCTGCAACAAAGCATTGTAAAACAGCAGTAAAAAAAAAAAATAGGCTGATAATCTAATTATCATGGTTCCCTAAAATGGATTCCTTAATAACAACAGGGGTATAAAATTCCCAAAGGAACTACCAATGTGTTTCTTTCCTCAATTTCACTCCTTTAAAATGATCTATGGGATTCAATCACAATGCTGCAATAGATATTTAGCACCTTCTAAAATGAATTATATTAATAAAAAGTTGCCCAAAACATTTCAAGCCTATCTTCGTCCTGGTCTTAAGTTTTCCTTTCTGTAATTCAGTCTAAAACCATTAACACTTTGTATTATTTAAAAAGCCCAGTCATTTCACATTACAAAAAGTGGTCAGTGCAACAGTTCAATCACATTTAGTATCAATACTTCTGTGATCGCAAATAAAGGTACATACCTTTATCTGTACCAGGAAATCCCTAAGATGTTCCTTGAACGCAGGAATATCCTGATTTAAGCTGAAAAGTCCTGTCACAAAGAGCTTTACTTGAGCACTGCAATTCAAAACACAATGATTAAAAAAAAATCACTTAAAGACAAAAAGCTTAAAAATTTAAGTTTATTAAAAAGTGTATTTACTCTTGTAGATGAGGGAATGCAGACTTAAGAAGATTAGCCACATATTCCTGAATAAACATTTGGTTATTAACTGGATTTCCAGGATTTAATGGTGTACTTATTTTTCCTTCTTCAACCAAATTAAACATATATGCAAGGATAGATGCATGCATTGTCAAACCTGTTGATAAGAAGGACAGCATTAACACCAAGATGAAATAACCAGAACATTTAATATTTCTATGGCTGTAAATCCTTACCAGCAGTATGTGAGGTGTCTGTCACAACAGAAAAGATATGCTGAAGAATATCACAAAAATAAGTTTGATAGAAACTCTGAGCCGCAGCTTCTTCTTGTGCAACATTTTGTAAGAGTGTAAAAAGTATCTGTAAGCCTTGAAATACATATAACACCAACAAAGTTATTACATACTGACATTCATGATAGTACTTCAGCTATTAACAAATTCATTCAAAGCCCATTCCCCCTTTTTTTGCTAATGACTAACAATTATTTGCCTAGGTTATCTTAAATCACTAATGGAGTTAAAACTAGAACCACTGACTGCTTACTTACAGACTATAATCTAACCATTATCACATTAGCATTATTTCTGAAGGTTTAGTTTGATTCTTCCTCATCCACTCCAAAAGTAGCACAACTGAGCAATTTTTCTAATACATAAACCAATTACTACTTAAAAGTAAAAGAAATCAACTCTCCTGCTAGAAATGTTTTATTTTTTCCTTTGTTGAGGTGAGGATATGGGTAAGTGATGCTCTCCCTGCCTTAAATCTTATGCCCACCTCCCCGTAACTCAATTCTGCCTACAGACTCACTCTGAAACAGATGATTAAACTGTTTATAGGACTTAGACATATCTATGCAGTTGATGCACTCAAACAAAACCAGGACAAGTAAATTGATAACTACCTGTCTACCACTATACACATCTGTTAGGTGTCTGTACATAGATTTTGGGTTGCTAGGCAAATGAATAAAGAACATTGTTTCTATGTATTTACCTGTATCTGCTACATTCCTCATAGTATGTTTGAAAGCCCAAATGATGGAATCCAAAACAAGTTTAAACTGTGCAGGTGGAATAGCCAGAAATGCTGGGAAACAATGAGAATTGACAGCCTGAAGTAGTAGGAAAAAGTTTGTTCTGTGTTCAGGATATTCTTCAAAGTCCTAAAATGAAGCAATACAAGGGCACCTTATTTTAAAGAATATTCATCAAAACTCACATAAAGACCATCACATTTTCTAGGAACTCTGAGACTATTACTATTATTTTTAATGACTTTGAGACCACTAACACAGATTAGAAAAACTGTTACCTATTGTATAAATGTGTATACTTAACATCTACATTTTTTTCCTTAGTTAATATATTTTCCCACTCCTTATAATAAGCATATACTACACTATAATAACTAAAATGTAGTATCAAGGGAGGGATGTATGCAGATGTGTCCATATAAATTTTGATGATAACCAATGATGTGTGTGCATCTCTTTTGGCTGTACTGTAAGAATCCATTGTTAAGTAATTCAGTGGAAAACATACCTCCTTGCTGGGGGGAGGGTACAGTTCAAGTGGTAGTGTGTATTTACATGAGGTCCTAGACTCAATCCTCAGTACCTCCTCTAAAAATAAACGTAATCACCTCCCCTGACCAAATTAACTAAATAATACAGTAATAAATAAAGTATTTTTTAAAAAAAACCAAATTTCTTTGCTAATATTTTAATAGTATGGGTTGGATAATGAATCCTCTTAGAAGCATTACACTTTGTGAACTCTGTTGCTTTATGACTCATTTTTAGTTGCATTAAGGGAATGTAGTATTAATCATAATTCTGGCAGTATCTTTATCTAGAGGGCTGTTGCCACTTTTGTCTTTGAAATTTTTATTGCCAAGAAAGGCAGGATTACCCTTTTTTCCTTCCAGACTGAGTTGGTATAGTATATTGGTTACCAAAATACTAATATAGTTTTGGGACTCTAAAATGGTAAATATTCATCATATATGAAAAAGTGTAACTGTAATGATCTTAATTACGTAAAAATGGATGCTTAGTTAAGGAGATACACAAACAAGACCTAAGAGGACACATCAAACTGTAAACTGCTTGTGATTATGGATTACTTTGTTCTTTGTGTTTTTTGGTTTCCTATTATACACATCAGCTTTCAAGAAATAAATGTTATTTTAAAAACCTTAAAAAAAAACACCTAAAATGTAATCCTCCCTTTTCATTTATTTAAAACAAATTAATACAACTAAAGCCAATGACTGAAATGCAGTAAGTTTTCAATGCTAGCTGCCATTTGAATAAACAATACCAAACTTATTTTTAATTCTTAGAATTCCATGCAAATTAAAAATAACAAGTATTTTTATGATCTAGTTCAAATATTTAGTATCAGAGCCTAAAATTTATGCTGTAATCAAAGATAGTCATCATTTATGCTTTTAAAAGTGGTAAGAACACACTGCAGAACTTTCCATTATATAACTGAAAGGCAAAAACACATACCTTATTTATCATATTCAATGTGCATTCAAAAACAGCATCAAATATTTGAGGTATTTCAGCTGTTATATGTCCTCCTAACTTGTTGACAATAATAGCCATAGTACTAAGCACTTCTGGTTCTCTAGCAGCTGGGACATTTCTCTGATAATCAATGAGAACTGCATCCAACAGAGGAGGGACAAAATTTTCAGCTACCTGTTTAAAAAATAATCTGATTTTAATTTAGGCACTTGGTAACTCATATTAAACAGTCAGGTCAATGTCATCTCCTGTACTGTAATTTTTTGTGTATTAAAACTTTTTACTAACAGAAACCAACAAATCACAATACGCTGAGAAGGCCATGAACATTATGCAGTTTAAATCTGTATGATAGCAAACTGAGGCCTGAAATCAAATGACTAGCTCTAAGTTCTGCAGCAGAACCACGATTCTGGGACACTGTTATGTGGGATGGGTAACCTCAGAGTAAAGAAGAGTCGTCCTAACCAATATTGTACCAAGGTACTCATATCTAACCAAAAGAGGACGCCACTCAGTGATTTTTAACATAATGAATACTAGCTGACATCTCAATAAATAGAAACAATAACTATCATTTACTCTCAAAAAATAAACTGGACTATGCCAGAAAGACTGCGTGTGGTTTTCCAAGCTTCTCAATAGTCTTATTAGGGTGTAATTTCTATGCTTTCAGGTTCTCTATTAAAACACGTAAACACAACCAATGTTTTATTTAACTGAAGATTTCTAGTTACTAGTGTCCCACTACATGAAACAGGTCTAGAAAGATTTGAAGGATAAGGACAAAATTATTTTTCCTTTTTACCCACTTGGGTTTCTCTTAACTAGAACTAGTTCTCACTTTTTCCTTTCTTACAGTTTCATTGAGATACGATTGATGTACAGTGCTGTGTTAAGTTTACTTATATATATGAAATGATTACCAACTAAGTTTAGTGAACATCATCTCATATAGATACAAAATTAAAGAAACAAAAGATTTTTTTGAGTGTGACAAAAGCGCTTAGGATTTACTCTTTCTTATATAACAGACAGCAGTGTTAACTGTATTTATCATGTTGTACGTTACATCCCTAGTACTTATTTATTGTATAAATAAAAGCTTCTACCTTTTGACTTCCTTTTTATCCAATTCACCCTCCACCCACTCCACCTCCTCTGGTAACCACAAATCTGATCTCTCTTTTTAAATTCAAGCATAGTTGATTTACAATGTTGTGTTAAGTTTCTGGTGTACAGCATAGTGATTCAGTTATTTTTAAACATATATATACACACACACGCACTGTTTTCCATTATAGGTAGTCACAGGATATTGAATATAGTTCCCTGTGCTATACAGGGGACCTTGTTCATCTATTTTATATAGCAGTTTGCATCTGCCAATCCAAACTCCCAATTTATCCCTCCTCCCCACTTTGGTAACCATAAGTTTGTTTTCTGCTTGTCTGTCTCTTTCTGCTTTGTAAGGAAGTTCATTTTTATCATTTTTTAAAGATTCCACATATAAGTGATATCACATATGTCTTTCTCTATCTGACTTACTTCACTTTGTATGATGTCTCTAGGTCCACCCATGTTTTTTTTTATTTTATTGAGTTATAGTCAGTTTACAATGTTGTGTCAATTTCCAGTGTAGAGCACAACTTTTCAGTCATACATGAGCATATATTCATTGTCACATTCTTTTCCACTGTGAGCTACAAGATCTTGTATATATTTCCCTGTGCTATACAGTATAATCTTGTTTATCTATTCTAAATATACCTGTCAGTATCTACAGATTTCGAACTCCCAGTCTGTCCCTTCCCACCCACTTCTCCACTGGCAACCGAAAGTCCACCCATGTTGCTGCAATGATTTCTTCTGAGTTTGCTGTATGTTTGTTTAAGTACAACTGACCTATAATACTATGCTAGCTCCTGTTACACAGGATAGTAATTTGGTATTTCTATGTATTTCAAAATGATCACCACAATAACTAGTTATGAACTGTCACCATAAAAAGACTACATTTATAGTCTGCATTATATTAGTATATTGTTATATAAAATGTATATCATATAATACACGGACTATAGAAATATTATGTATTAATAACATGTTATATTAGAGCTATATTCTCCACACTGTGCATTTTCATACCTGTGACTCATCTGTTTTGCAGTTAGAAGTTTATACCTCTTAATCTCCCTCAACCTATTTCTTTCCTTCCCGTTTTCACATTTCTACTCTTAACCCTAACTGAAATAGTTTATTTTCCTACAAAGCAGATCCAAAGTATTTGAGTATCTTTGAATTCACAGCCCTAAATCACAATAGAAATCTTAGTTATAAATAAAATATGAGACCCATCTGGTCATTACCTCTGATGTTCCTGAAATTACTGCCCATGCTATTTGTAAATTATGAACTTCTCAATTCCCTCAATTCATCCTACTTTTTACTTTCTAATTTTTAAAATGCAGTTCTGATCTCATAATGCATATTTAAAACCTTCTGGGAATCATGGGAATTCCACAACTGTTTTCTGAACAAGGTTCCTGAAATTTACCTTGTCAACAGGAACAATATTGAAATTTCAAAATTATGAAAGTAAATAGCACACTTGTCAATGCTATTTTCACCCAACAGTGATAAACAAGACACAATTTCTTGTAATTTCCAAGGATCAAGAGAATGAAAGGTGTAACAATAATAAAACATAAAACAGATTTTTTCCCAGCTGAAGTATATGAAGTGGGTTTAGTTTCTGAAGACCACTTAAGACTAACGGGAATAAGACAGCAAAAGAGACATTCAAACCTTCAAAACTAGGAAAGTGCCTACTCCTACTAAAGAGGCAATCTAATGACAGCTTTGTCGACTGCTTTCAAGATCACGAGGAAAACAAAAATTTCATCCTAACTGTATCCATGGAAAAATAAGAATGATCCAATCATCTCAGCTTTGTTACAGCGCACCATCCCTCCCAACTAACAGCAATTTCTTAGTAAGATGGAATATATCTTACTATTTTAACGTACTCAAGAATTCTGATAAATAAAATGTTATAAAATGTGACACATCTAAATTAACTAAATGTATATAGAGATATATGCACATTCCAGAGAATGCAGCATCAACCTTAAAAACAAACAGCACATCTCACTTACCATCTGTGGATCATTGGACCGGCTCACCCA